TTTTTATATTACTTTTTAAATTGTGACAGAACCTACATACGTAATACATATTTTTCAAGAAACTTAAATATATTACTATCCACAACAGTTGTTAATACTACCTTGCTTTTGGTATCCTTGACCGTCTTTAACTCAGGTAAATCGACAGGTAAATCTCTTTCATTATCAAAACTGTAATTACTTTGAAGGAACTCCGGTCCGTTCCACCAGAGGGAGCATTTTGGAAGCATTTGTGGTTTTATACCTCTGCTAATTAAATCAGCAGGATTACTTAAAGATGGTACATATAGCCAAGACCATTTATCAGTTTTTTGACAAATTACATTCACTCTGTTCGCTACATATGCATGTAGTTTGGTTAACTCAGTCCTAATTCAAGCTAAATTAATTTCTGAGTCTGTGAATAAATACACATTATCTATCCTTATATTATTATGTAAAATTCCATAAATTCTTTCTATTAAAATAGATAATAATAATGCTGCATTAAGCTCTAATCTAGATATCGTTAATGGATTTGCACGTGGATTAACTCGCGATTTTGACCAGAGTAAATGCAATTCAGCGTTACCTGTACTATCGACCACGCGTATGTATATACAGCACCCGTACCCAGTATTACTAGATGCATCAGCAAAACCTGTAAGCTGCAATGAAATTGCACTCTCGATTGGTATGTGACGTCGTAAGCTAATAGGCTCCATTTCAAGCAAGCTATATGAAAATTGTAGCCATTCTTCTGCTAACTTATTAGGTAATACCTCATCCCAACCAATATTATGTGACCAAATTTTTTGTATAATTGCTTTTGCTCCTATTATTATTGGGCTTATAAATCCCATAGGATCATAGAACTTAGATATTGAACTAAGAACCTCTCTTTTTATAATCTTAGTAACCTTAAAATTATTTGGTGCTTTTATAATAAAACAATCTTTTTTGACATCTAATTTCAAACCTAAAGCTTTCATGTTATAATTATCCTTTTGAAGATCAAACATTGTAAATTGCTGCTCACATTCTGGAATATCAGACAAAATATCAGGTGTATTAGAAGCCCACTTATGCAAATGAAAGCTGCCATAACTTAATATTTCACGCAATTGTTGTTTAGCTTCAAGCATTTTTTGCAAATCTGAACATGAATATAAAACATCATCAACATAACAGCAGTTCTTTAAAATAACAGAAGCTAAAGGATATTTGTGCAAGTTCATACAAACAGCGTGTGGCTAAGCTACTTGATGGCTTCATACCATATGTGACAGTATCTAAACGAATACAACGAATGGGCAAATTTGGATTCTGTAGTGAAGTGTGCTCTGGATTAACCAAAACATTACGAAAATTTTTTTTAATATCTGAGCTTAATGTATATTCTCCAAATCTAAACAGTGAAATTATGTCAAATAAATCTTTTTGTACTATTGGACCGTTCAATAAAATATTATTCAATGAAACCTTTTTACTTGTTTTCATCGATGCATCAAACACTACCCTTACAGGTGTAGTCTTACTATGTATATTTATTACTGCATGATGGGGCAGAAAATAAATTGGATCCTTACTGAAATCATATGAGTTAATATCTATGTAATGTCCATGACCAAGCTCTATATATTCATCAATAAATTTTTGATATTCCTTTAATAAATTGCCACTTTTTTGTAGCCGTTTCTCTAAACTCAGAAACCTATGTAAAGCTAGATCAAATGAGCTACCTAATATCTCATTTATTTTGCAAAGTTCCACCTTCAAAGGCAGATCAACTTGAAATTTGTTATTTTCTAATTTAACTGTGTTTTTAAAAATATCTTCAGCTAAGTCCTGTTCTGAATTCTTTTCAAATAATAATTGTTGCACACTCTCTGCCTCCCAAAATTTGTTAATACACTTACTAATATCAGAGTCACATTTAGTACAGAGAAGCGATACAACCTTATTTTTTAGAAGATTACACTTTCCAACCCAAGTCCCAGCAACAATGTGGCCAAAACATGTATTAATTATATGTGGTGACGTTGATGGTGAATACTTATTAAAATTGCTTACAGATGATTCCTCCCTAAAATCTTCATTCGGCAGGAGAATCTGAAAAAAGACATCCACATCAATAAGCATATTTATCTCGGATGGTTGATTGAAAGTTGTATCTGCCAATGTGACACCAGGAGGAATATTTATATCCTTTGTGTCAAAAAGTTTTTGTGGCAAATTGCATGTAATTCTGTCCACAACATGACAATTTATAATAGTATTAAATGCACAGGTTAAAGAATGGAATTTTAATGGAATACAATATTTAATTTTATTTTCACTTTCTGTAACACCAAATAGACTTATATCAGTTTGTTGAGGTGTCAACCCCAGGACATTAATTGCCTTTGTGGTAATTAAAGACACTTGAGAACCCGAGTCTAGAATACACTTAAGATGTACCTCTGTTCCATCTTTTGCATAGATTTTCACTTGTGCTGTTGGAATTAAAGCATTCATATTTGATTTATTACCAGATAATAAAACTACTGGACTAGATTTTTCAAAATGCAACAATGTGTTATGATTATTTTTACATTGTTCGCACCTAAAGTGAAACTTGCATTTACCCACATGTTTATGTAAGCATATCTTACATAAATATTCATGCTTTGCAAAATCAACCCTTTCACTTGCTGGCAATGATTTAAATTTTTGACATAAATATAATTTATGATCATAACACTTACGGTATAGACACTGCAGTGCTGCCTTTGTTGCTGCCAAAACTACCTTTTTATTGTAGGACGCTGTTGTAGATAGACGCTTGTTGGTCTCAGGCATCTCCGGCTCAGTGTTTTCCATTGCAAGCGCTCGCCTGCTTAAGTAATCCAATAGTCTAAACTTTTGTCGTTGTGAATGACTGATTTAAACACTTCAATAAAATTAATATAGTCGGAGTATTTTCCAGAAAAGATAAGAATATTAATAGAAGGCAATTTTACTTTATTATTTCTTTGTTCATTACCTGACTCCAGATTATTTTCTTGTTGTACACAATTAGAGTACCTTTTAATTGCATCATTTAGAATAGATAAACTAGAAAAATAGTGACTTTCTGTAACAGATATGTCTTCAGTATCCTCAGTATTATAAGCTAAAATGTCTTGATGGCATCGCTCATACTCTTTGAACATTGCTAATAATCTATTCCGCTTTATTATCAGGGTCTCCTTACTGGTACTCTCAACTTCAACCTTATTCAAGGTAAAATTATAAATCCTTGTTATTGCTCCTTTTACGTAGCCCCGGCTTGCAATTGACCTTTTTTGCGCATCCGCCATTTTTAAATACTAACGAACGCGAGGTTATAAATATCTTACAAAATTGGGTAGACTACGAATATGGCTTAAATAATATAGCTCCAAGAGTAATAGGATTTAAACACCTTATAGTTCCTAATATAATGATGTTACACTTTTGCTCTTGCACTTTGCAATAAAAAATAGCTTTTCACGACTAAACTCTGACCAAAAAAATGCTTCAAGAGACGCTTCCTTTCGCTTGCCTTTACAATTGCAGACGGAACTTCCGCCCGGCGAGTAGGGAAGAAAACTGTGATCGTTGATTCGCTGCACACTGGACCGCTGCCGCTTGACTGTGCCGCACCGGCCGCTTATTGGTCGGAACGTCAAAGTCATATTTTGCTAATTTTAGACGCCATCTCGTTAGTTTTGAATTTGGGTCCTTAAAGGACATTATCTACGTAAGTGGTCTGTGATCTGTTATTATTTTAAATTTCTTTCCATAAAGGTAAGGGCGGAAGTATTTAATGGCCCAAACTATACTGAGTAATTCTTTTTCGATGGTGGAGTATCTTCGTTCTGTATTCGATAGTGTACGTGATGCGTATGCTATGTCAGTTGTTAATATGAATGGTTTATCAAAATCTGGGTACTGTAATGTCGCTGCGTTCATTAATAATTCCTTACATTTTTCAAATTAATATACATATATAAATCTTTTATTGTAACTACTTTATTTCCCATTTTTAAACATTTTGTAAGTGGTCTTGTCAGTTTAGCGAAGTTTTATATGAATTTTCTGTAATAACCTACCAAGTCAAGAAAAGATTTAAGTCTGTTTGTATTTTACATAGGTAAGGGGAATTTTCTTATGGCTGCAATTTTGTCTTCGTTTGATTAAAGACCCGTTTCTGTCAATGTGTAGCCTAGGAACTTTACTTCTTTATCAAGAAATTCTGATTTATCTAGTTGCACTTTTAGGTTATGAATCCAGAATCTTTCAAAAACCTGACCTAAGAACCGTACATTGGTCCATCTCACCGGTAAGAATTAAGTTATATATAACAAACAGCAAAAGAGAAAATACGTTTCGTTCAAATCTCCAATATCAAGCAATGTTGCAAGAAAAACGAAACGCAAGGGTACGTACTGATATGCGAGCAAAAGATCAAACTGTGCGAATTTTATCGTGGTAGTTTATTGGCGCAATTTAGAGATAAAAGAAAAAATCGACCAATAAGCGGCCGGTGCGGCACAGTCAAGCGGCAGCGGTCCAGTGTGCAGCGAATCAACGATCACAGTTTTCTTCCCTACTCGCCGGGCGGAAGTTCCGTCTGCAATTGTAAAGGCAAGCGAAAGGAAGCGTCTCTTGAAGCATTTTTTTGGTCAGAGTTTAGTCGTGAAAAGCTATTTTTTATTGCAAAGTGCAAGAGCAAAAGTGTAACATCATTATATTAGGAACTATAAGGTGTTTAAATCCTATTACTCTTGGAGCTATATTATTTAAGCCATATTCGTAGTCTACCCAATTTTGTAAGATATTTATAACCTCGCGTTCGTTAGTATTTAAAAATGGCGGATGCGCAAAAAAGGTCAATTGCAAGCCGGGGCTACGTAAAAGGAGCAATAACAAGGATTTATAATTTTACCTTGAATAAGGTTGAAGTTGAGAGTACCAGTAAGGAGACCCTGATAATAAAGCGGAATAGATTATTAGCAATGTTCAAAGAGTATGAGCGATGCCATCAAGACATTTTAGCTTATAATACTGAGGATACTGAAGACATATCTGTTACAGAAAGTCACTATTTTTCTAGTTTATCTATTCTAAATGATGCAATTAAAAGGTACTCTAATTGTGTACAACAAGAAAATAATCTGGAGTCAGGTAATGAACAAAGAAATAATAAAGTAAAATTGCCTTCTATTAATATTCTTATCTTTTCTGGAAAATACTCCGACTATATTAATTTTATTGAAGTGTTTAAATCAGTCATTCACAACGACAAAAGTTTAGACTATTGGATTACTTAAGCAGGCGAGCGCTTGCAATGGAAAACACTGAGCCGGAGATGCCTGAGACCAACAAGCGTCTATCTACAACAGCGTCCTACAATAAAAAGGTAGTTTTGGCAGCAACAAAGGCAGCACTGCAGTGTCTATACCGTAAGTGTTATGATCATAAATTATATTTATGTCAAAAATTTAAATCATTGCCAGCAAGTGAAAGGGTTGATTTTGCAAAGCATGAATATTTATGTAAGATATGCTTACATAAACATGTGGGTAAATGCAAGTTTCACTTTAGGTGCGAACAATGTAAAAATAATCATAACACATTGTTGCATTTTGAAAAATCTAGTCCAGTAATTAACACCTTCAGGATCAAGTCCCTCAAATGCGTTGCTGCCCCTGGGGTCTAAGATGGAATACCCTCGAATGTGATCCTGTAATAACATTGCACCTTTCCCACCAGACCGGAGCACAGCGAACTTCTTTGCGGCAACACTAATAAAGGCGATGGTCCCCATCCAGACGGTTACTACCACCAGCTACGGCCAAAGAGCTCGGCTTCCAGTGTGAAGTTAGGCGATACTTCTAGCAAGGACAGCTTTTAAAACTATACAAGTCCGATCATGCATGGAGTATTGCAGTCACTTGTGGGACGGCTCTGTCAAGTATCAGTTGGCAGCTTTGGATTTAGTGTAGCGCCGCGCCGTGACCTTGATTTGACGCGCATTGACTTGAGGGCACACGCTTGTTGAGAACAAGTTTGTGAGTTTTAAACATTGGCTAGAGTGGTTTATCGGTGTTTTATAAGTTGCATTTTGCGGTCAAGAGCTGTATAATCTTATACCACCTGCTCCCTTCCATTACTGAAATTCAAGGCGTACACCGGGAATGCACCCTTACACTGTGAATATTCAACCTATCCGTACTAAGCGCTTTACCTCATCTTTCATAATGCGAACCACACAAAAGAGAGTAGAACAAGCAGCCAAGCTCGGTGTTCCCGGAAAGGACTTTTTTTTTTAAATAAATCAATAAATAGGCATTTTTTGAGCCCAAAAATAATGTTTCATGTTTCTAACTTAAATAAATTACGGTCTTCCATACAAGCTTTCAACCCCTATTTCACGTCCTTAGGGATAGAATTTGCAAACTTCCTTCCTTAGTGGGTTTCTACTCAATAAAACAACCCTACTCACCAAATTTCATGGCTGAAACTTTAAAATTTTTGACCGGGGATGATAAATCAGTCAGTCATTCAGGACATGTTATTTTATAAGAATAGGTAAGATAGAAGATACACATATACAAAAGTATTATATTATAATTTCTAAATGAAGTTAAAGATATTAGATTTCATTTGAAATTCCTCTGATCGATAAATAAATAAAATAGAATCATTTATTATTTTTCTTTTACGAAACCGGTTACGTAGCTTTGGTTTCGTAAGGGCCGAATGGAAAATATTGATTTTATTAACAAGTACATATCGCAATAAATGTTAGTACTTCGATTGACCGACCTTTGCTCGTTTTAATTTATACTCATTGGCTTAGCGCTACTGAACTAGCTTTTAAATACATATACGTACATATATGCGTACAAGAACTGCTCGTAAAGGTATTATGCAGATAGAATCGAAAATATCGATAATACTCAGGTATCGATTTTTTTTGGTTGCGTATCACTATTGACTTGACCACGACACGACACGTTCAGCGTTACTTTAACATAGTTTTTGATTACCTATATTCTCTTTGGTTAGGTACTTTTTTTAGATAGTATTACCATAGAGATCTTAAAATATCTATGAATCTTAGTTCTTACTAATTTGAATTTGTATCACGCGGGATCCAGAGGTTAACATATTATTCTATCTGGTTAACCGACGCAATCACTTTCTTATTATTTATTTTTTCTTATTCTTTAGTTGAAGTGCGTTGTTATTTAATTGTCACCCTAAGTGTTGTTTGGTATGGAGGAGTCAATAGAAGACCTTCTAACACGGTGGGGAATGCCCGCCGACGTTGTCGTGACATTCAAAAGTAAGTACAAAATTCGTTACAAAGTACCTATCACTCCATCTTGAACGTCAGAAAGTTATAGGTCGGAGCCCTAACAGTGGTGACATACTCGTAAATGTGTGAAAAGGTATTGGACTTATTTATGTGCATGAGGACTCTTAACCAGGTATTTGTTGCCAACTTCCTCTCAACTGATGCGTGTTCATGTGGATTTTGCACGTGTGTACCTACCTATTTTTCGTTAGTACCTATTAAGTTGAGGCTTATGGCACCGCATCATGACTGCCGGTCATTATATTTCAAGACGACTGCCCGTTAATTCGTCCGCGTCAATTTCAGTCTCCATTTTCAGTGGGAATTTCCCAAAATCCTTTAAAAGCAGATGCCTACATCGTACTCTCGTACATCGTAACTTGTAATCAAAATAGCGATACTTTTTAAGGGTGAGCACTGAGCAGTGTATACTGATAATGTATTTTTATCCATTAAAATCTATTACTTCATGAAAGTAATTATAAAATGTAAAGTTAATGTTAAAATTAATAAAACAATGTCACAATATCTCTTTCACAAAATGTCAGACATTCATTCAGCTACACACTCCGCCATTCACCAACCAGTACGTCTCACTGCAGCACTAAGCCCGAGAGCTGGTTAACTTGGTCACACCCTGCAATGAGAGGGATATGTTTGTGTGCTTTAATCTGTTTGATCTCAAGATAAAAGTGGAGGCCTGAGTACATAGTGGTTCCTCAAAAAACTATCTATAATTGAGAGGCTGTAGAGCCAGGAAACCATAGCAGCCCTGCTAGCTAGTCCACTTCACCCGAAACAAGCTAATAAAGTAGTTTCTTCTGTTGAGCAATGTGCTTGTTTTGTAACTGGATGGCTGTGCTTATTTACCACTCCATCTGTCTACACTTGGTACGTTACTTTTGCGTTGATCCTAAACTAAATTACTTTCCTTTTTTATATAATTCATTGAGATAGCTAACAGGCTAATAAGCCATGTGATTGTAAACACTGTCACAATCCGTCGTCTGTCACAATCCCTTTTGTACATAGCTGGAGATTGAATTTAGAACCCCTTGAACAAAACTACATCCAAAGTTACACCATCCATACTCCATACTTAGTTGCTTTATATTACATGACAAGTGTATAATTTCAGGAGACTAACTTATGAGGACTATACAATGTTAGCAGGAAAAATCATCACTCTTTTTCCTAAAGAGACTGCTGCAACGTATTTCACTCGTCCTATTAGAAAGAGAGATTCTTATAATGGCAAATCAGTTGCTGCTCGTGGAAAGCTAGTGGACAAAGTTCGTAACTACTTGTTTCAATCAGGAGAATGTAAGCGCAAATACCTGAACACAACTGAAAACTCAAAGGTTAAACTTTCAGAAGCTGAAGTTGGTAAGTTATTTGAAATTTTAGTAGATTAAGATTATTACTTGATTGGCCGTGCCTCTCCCAACTAGGGAATGCATGTTTTTGGTTTTAGTGAAAAATCATTATGTAATTTCTTCCTCATTAATTTGATTAAGGAAACAGTATTGTAAACTTCTTGTGAGTTGATTGATGGTTCCTGGTGGTGCACGGAGGTGAAATTGGCGCAATATATGGCTAATATCGTTAAAAATAAAGTATAAGTAAATCATAAGTGTTAACGTAAATTACTATCCTGGTATACAGCGCCACCTATTGGTGAGTAACAAAACGTTTCATACTCTTTTTTCTCTTACCTACATGTTTGAATGTGGTAGTGGTTGTTTATTAGAATAATTTATTACGATTTTGAGGTACAGTTTAAATCACGTTAAATACTTATTTAGTGAATATTTGTATTAAAACATTATGGATTCCATACCTTCAGGTATGTGTCTTTTTTAATCAATTACTGAAATGTTTACATCAGTTACGAGGGTGAAGATGTATAATTTTAAATACGAGGCTTTTTTTTATTAGTTTATTTTTATTCTCATAGTAAAAACGTTTATACTAAACCATACTCAATCTGTTTTTATTAGTTATTTAAAAAGTACATTTCATTAGCTTTTAAATGATATAAAATTTAGGCGCTACCTCTTGCGTCACCTGAACAAAATATAACAAAATTCAATTGCGTATACGAGTTATAAATGTATTCATAATTACTTTTCAGGCAGTTTCCAACATAGCATAGCAATTAGCCGTAGAAATCTTGTAAGTTTTTATTTAATGGGTAATTCTAATGATCATGGAGCTCGATTTGAATGCTTAGTAAGTAAGGTTCGGGCAATTACACACTGTGAAGATGAATTACCAAATTATATCAAACAAGAGTTATTTCGCTTTATTTATCAATATAACAAGAAGTGGCAAGACGTATCTAGAAATAAAAAACGGTTCGAAAGTAAATATAGTAACTGGTTAGATACATCTATCAATTTTCCTTCGTAAGAAAGACGTAGAATCTGCAATAGTTCTGCGGGAAGGCCGCAAAAAGATTTTGAAGAATGTAGTGAAAGATCAAAAAGGAGGAAAACTCAAGATTTGAGAAGTAGCACAGGAACATTGGAGTTGACATATGCAGCTGAAATGAAGCTCAGATCAGAAGGTAATATTCAAGCTGCAAAAGTTTTAGCTGAGATTGTTAAAAGCCCCGACTCTGCGAAAAATTATATTAAGAAAGATGATGTTAAAATTACTAAACTGACAGAAGATAAAGCACTTTCATTAATTACTAATGCTAAACTCACTAAATATCAATATAATATTATTAGAAGTAATGCCCTTGAAGAAAATTGTCCTCTGTGTGGTGGTCGTCTTAATGGTGATGTGATTGTGGTTGTTCTTAGCAGTGGTGGTGCTGATTTTTAGTGGTAGTGGTGGTGGTGGCGGTAGCTAATGGTAGTGGTGATGATGATAATGATGGTTATGGCAGCTACGAGTGGTGGTGGTGGGGCAGCTAGTAACAGCGGTGGTGATGATGGTGGTGGCAGTTAGTGGTGTGGTGGTGGTGCTAGTGATGAAGGAAGTCTTGGTGATTATGATAGCTATACGAACATCCCACTTCACTTCTTCGTTCATTATCAAAATAGCAAGGGAATGGAATGCGGGAATGAAAACCAGCTGCGGTGTTCCCATTAAAATACAATGCACATATATTTAAGGTTAGATGTAAACCTATAAAATATAAAAAAGTGGCAGCTAGTAGTGGTTGAAGCAGCTAATCTTCGTGATGATAGTAATATTCTGTGCCAAAATTTCCACAAGTGCATTGTGAAGTGTCATACTGTGTATTTTTTAATCCCTGATTGGTTAAGTGAAAAAGAGAATGGTTCTATGAGATGTTATAAAAACAATGCACACTAGTTATATTATTTCTGCTTATACAATGTAGCCATACTGTTTATAACATACCTGTTTTTTTTGTAGTTTCAGTTGAAGAAGATGTTAATTGGCTAAAGAATAACAATGAGCCATGGAGCGAAGTAATATTAAAATGGAATAAAAATAGTCAGTATCGCCATGGAAAAGATTATGAAAGTATAACAACATTTATGAATGAATGGCAATTGTTATATTTGCCCAAAGCAATTGAACTTGTAAGTAGTTGTTCACACTTAGTTGTTGCACATTTCACCAAAAAGACTAAAGAATTGGTGGGTTTACTTAAGTAATCGAGACAGCTGCTAAAAATTGGATGACTCCTTTTCATCGCATAATGTCACTGTTTTTGAAAATTAAAAATTAATGCTACTTAACACAATTTTGATGTGTATTTTTCTAGAGATTCCTCTTGCCATCTTGAAGATAAATGGATATTATTGCACTACACATTAAATGTCTGTAAAAAAACGTAAGGCATAATTATAAATAGTATAATTGGTTCAAGGCTGAACATGACTTTGTATAACATTTACTTCTTATCTTGTAACATTTTTTTTTAATAGTTAATTTGTGCAATCAGAGGTTCTAAGGCTGGGTACAGTCAGACGAAAACCTTACTGTACTCAGATACTAACTTTTTGTGTGGTATACAACTTAAGGCAATGCTTCTGATGCAACAAATGTGATGTACCTTCAACTGAAAACTTTCCCCGAGGAACAAGTTTAAAAAGAAATTATTGGTAAAAATTATAGTATTGACCTTACACAACATTCTGGATCTGCTGATCAATTAGTATAAAAATTTAAATAAATTATAATATTTATAAACATATTTTCCTTGGGAAAAGTTGTTCCGTTTCAAGCTGCAATGTGTATATTTTTTCTTAAAACCTTTACAAAGGGTATGCATGAGAAAACTCAAAGCAGGTTTAAGTGTATACAATATTTTTTTATGCGTAGCGTTTTACAGAATAGCCAGCTTAACAGTTATTTTTTTGTCTCAGAAAATTTTAGACCTAGGATAGGTCATGGCTGTCATTGAAGGCCATTAAACATTGTTATATTTTCTTAACCTCTTCATCTTAACACGAGGTTAAGAAAATATAACAATTAATAACTTTTTATAAAAATATAAATAAAAATAACTTGTTATGAACGCTAAATTAATAGAGTTGGTTTGTTTATAAGTAGTCATTAGGTTGACTTGCAAGTGAAAATGATTGGGTTTTATGTGCGTTAAAAAATTGTTGTGTATGGACGCTAGTAATAATAAATGGATAATTATGGAATGCTAAAATGTTGGTTGTATTATAGCCATACTCAAAATTTTTTATAGTGTAATATTATGAACAATTCTTTCAGATTGATGAAGATTTTAAAAATTTATATCCAGGAAAAGAAAAGGAATTCGAAAATAAGTGGCAAAAGTTTTTTTATAAACTGATAGAATTAAAAAAATCAGAAATAAGAACTGATGATTGTAAAGAAAAATTATTAACTTCACTATCTTCTATGACAGATGATGGTAAGAAAATGGTAGTATTTAATCGTAGACCAATATATATTATGAAAAGTATTTCGATTTTCCACCAAAAATATTCATTGCACATCAAAAATCCTTACACTTTTATTGTACTTGTCTATAAAGCATTTTGTGTCATTGTATTATCAAAATATAAAATATATTAACCGGAGGCAAAAGTAACAGGGGGCAATAGTAACAGTGCGTATAACTACTACATCAGTGGCTGTATTTGCACCTGTGTGCGTGGGGGAACACGTCGAGACGTGTTCAACCTGTGGCAGTCGGGCGAGCGTCAGCTTGCGCATCGGTCACTCGCTCTACGCCATTTTGTTTTTCGGACGCTCAAGGTAAGTTTTTACTACATTTTCAATGTGTGAAATTATTAACTTTTGGGCTAGATTTGTGTTTTAAAGCTTTTGGGTTTAGTAAACTTTAGATCAAAGATGATGTTAGCCATAATATATCTGAATGTATCCTAGTATTTATAGCTGTGGTGACGACTTTTTTATGAGACTTACAAAGGTGCAATTGTAACAAAATTATTGGGGGCAGTTGTAACGGTTCAATTGACCCCGTGTTACAATTGACCCATATGAAAAAACTAGCTATTGCCTGTAAATGCGCCTTTCTGGATCCCGAAGTTTATACTATTAAACTATTATATTACTAACTAGCTGTTTCCCCGTGGCTTCGCCCGCGTAGTAAAGATTTTTGGGATCCCGTGAGATAAAAATATTGTTTATTCTTCTCCTGCTTATAAACTATACATGTACTAATTTTCAGCATAATCGGTTCATAATTTGGCTTTTGGGATAAACACATTGGGGTTCCCGTGGGACAAAAAGTAGCCTATGTTAATTTCCTGCTTCTAAGCTATACTTGTAACAAATTTCAGCTCAATCAGCTTAGAATTTGGCCTGTTATTCCGTAACAAACAAACAGACATACAAACTTTCGCATTTATAATATTTGTAGGATTTGGGAAGCACCAGTAGACAACTTTCAGCAGATATGATGATGACTTATACCTAAAAGGCTTTAGTGGGTGTTGCGTATTAATTTTGGTGTAGGTAGAATATTGTTTAAAAAATTGAACATCATTTTTTACAGATGCCTAGAAATAGACCAAGGAAAACCGAAAGAGGTACAAAAGATCTGTTACTCTACGAGCAAGCGTACAAAGAGATATGTGAAGGACGTTCAATCCGGGCTGCGGCAAAAATGTTCGACTTGTGCCACGTTTCTCTAATGCGGTACAAAAAGAAAAAAGATTGTGCCCCGCATGGTCACGAAGTACGCATGGGCTATAATCCGGCCAGCAAAATTTTTTCCGAAGATCAAGAAAAGTTAATCAGTCAATATTTGATAAGAACAGCGGACATTTACTTCGGGCTCTCTCCAAAGGCAGTGAGAAGATTAGCTTATGATTTAGCCAAACATTACCAAATTCCTAGGCCAGAATCATGGGATGAGAATGAAACTGCAAGCGAAGACAGGTTTACTGGTTTTATGAAAAGGCATCCGGAGCTATCACTTAGGTGCGCTCAAGCTACGAGCTTATCACGAGCTACCAGTTTTAATAAAAATAATGTTGAACCATTTTTTGACAATCTAGCCATTGTATTGGACCGTGAAAAATTAGAACCCCAAGACATCTATAACATGGATGAGACCGGTATTACAACAGTGCATAAGCCTGATAGAATTGTCACTAAAAGAGGCATGAGACAAGTGGGAGCGCTTACATCGGGAGAACGTGGTACATTAGTAACTATTACAGTTGCAGTAAACGCTATTGGTAACGCTATTCCAGTGATGTTCGTGTTTCCAAGGGTAAATTATCAGCCTCACTTTGTACGGGATGGCCCAATTGGATGTATTGGCGCAGGAAATAAATCCGGTTGGATGGAAGGGAAGGAATTCCTTATATTTCTTAATCACTTCAAAGTTCATTCCAACGCATCTCTGGAACATAAAGTCTTATTGACCTTAGATAACCATCCATCCCATATAACGATAGAAGCCTTGGACTACTGCAAGGCCAATGGTATAATTATGTTGTCATTTCCCCCGCACTGCACCCACAAGTTGCAGCCAGTTGATCGGTCAGTTAATGGACCTTTGAAGAAAGCCGTGAACAGTGCATGTACTGCTTGGATGCGCAATCACCCTGGCAGGCCAATGACAATACACGATATACCATCTATAGTCAAAACAGCTTACCCGATAGCGTTGACGCCAAGAAATATTCAAGGGGGATTCAGAGTGACTGGAATAGTTCCATACAATAGGGACATATTTGACGAGTTAGACTATAGTCCTTCCTTTGTCACAGACCGACCAGACCCATCTTCAACAAATCCGGTTGAACGTCAAACTGAAGCTGAACATTTGCAGCCCGACTCAATTAATATTCATGACACTGACTCAAATGAAGAATGTTTCAATGATGTACTCTCAAGGCGCGAGTGTCAGAGCTTACCTATCACACAAAATCTGAGGAAGATCTCTCCATTTTCAAGTAATGTGCCTAGTCCTATAACGGAACTGGTAGTTACTGAACCTTTTGACTTGACTGAAGTAAGAACTCCCACTCCTATTAGGCCTGCGTCATCCTGCAATGATCCTCTGACCGTGACTCCAAGAAATTTACTTTCAGATATATCTACGAATCAGGACGCAAATATCACCTTGTCTAAATCTGGAATCAGAACTCCTTTAATGCCAACTTCTTCTTTCATTGATTCTTTGCCTTCAACTTCAAGTGGTAAATATTTTTCTCCTGAAATAGTAAGACCACTTCCCAAAGCACCACCACGTAAAAACAAAAGCAGTGGTAGGAAAAAAGGAAAAAGTGCTATATATACTGACACTCCAGAGAAAGAGGCTGTTCGAATAGAGCACGAAGAAAAAGAGCGCAAGAAGAGAGCGAAAGATGTAAAAAAATCATTGAAAATCAGAAAAACGACACTAACGAAAAAGCGAAAGCAAAAAGACAACGAAAGCGGAGAAGATGAAAATGAAGAATGGTTTTGCCTAGTCTGTGTGGAGCCTTATTCTCATAGCAGAAGTAACGAGTGCTGGATTAAATGCAACAAATGTCAGCTTTGGGCTCACGAAGCCTGTACTCCACAGGAAGGCATCAGCGTTACGCATACCCATTTCACCCAGCGCGGGCTCCACGGGTTATGTGGGACTCCTCCTGTGGCCCCACCCCCGTAGGGGCTAGACAAGAAACTGGACTTTACCCACTACAACTCAGCGATGTCCCTCGCATGGAAGGCGATGCGCGGGATCGGCCCGGAGGCCATACACCGCGCGGTTCGCCCCCATTTCGGCCCGCCCTGAAAAGGGCAGGTCCCGCTGCGGGTTGGGGGTACGCCTGAGAGACATTCGAGACGCACCCCCACGACGAGGCGGGAGCGTGCAATGCCGACCGGCACGCGAACCAGCCAGCTGCCCCCAGCTAGAGACCGGAGATGCGCGACTGTGTAATCTCCAGTCCCCTACCCATCGTGTTGGGAGGATCCACACAGGCATAGCCCTTATCGTGGGTCCCCCCCCCGTAGGTCGATGCGCCACAGAAGACCAGCCTCATCACTCCCTGTATCAGCCCCGAAGGGCAGACAGGGGCGTCCAGCCTGTCGACGGGTCGCATCCCCTCTCGTCGCGCCGCGGCTACGGCCCTACCGAGGTCCCGGCGCCGCACCAGTCGTCGAGCAAGCACAGCAGGTAAGTCCCCAGGTAAGTACCCAGGTAAGTACCCACAACACTACTCTAGACTAGTACGGCGTGTAAGTGTGTGCGTAAGATGTACAAAATGTAAACGTGATTTTAATAACTTAATCTTGCATTTAATGTCATAGTTTTTAGCATAAGTATATAGTTATTAGTTAAATTTATGACCGCCAAAGAACTGTCTTGAAATAAGTATTATTTAAAATTTTAGCAGAGGTTGCTCTTTCATGTTACTGTATCTTTGATTGTCATTAATTTTATAAAACATTTTCATGAGACATACAAGACTGATGTACGGAATCTTGTGATAAGAAAATAATTTCTAATTATAAATTAAATTATTGACTTTTATTATATTAAAATCATGTTACAATTGCCCCGGGGTAGGGGGCATTTGTAACACTTTCCCCTTTCTAGTTTAACCTTGAGTAACTCAAAAATATTAAAATATATGTAGACAAGTGTAAGATAAACTTGTAGCCCGATGCATGTTCTATCGATGTGTATGAAAATATTTTTGAGGTAACTTACCATTTGTCCGTGATTAGGTCGTGAATAAAAAATGTTACTATTGCCTCCGGTCTCAGTTTGTTTTCTTTCAGAGCATAAAATTCCATCGCAACTAAGTTTGATGATTCATTTGGTGCCCCCTAAAGGCAGGAGCAGTCAAAAAAAGAAGTTTTCTATTCAAGAATGTATGGATAGTCTTATAATAATAGTAGAAGTAAGTACTATAATATTATTACTAGTGCTTGGCGGGTGTTTCTGGTAGTGGGGATGGCAGCGGGGGTGGTGGCATTGACAGTTGTAGCGGTGTTTATTGTGGTGGTGGTAGGTTTTTTATTTCATTAGGACAGCAAACAAGTTGACAGCTCACCTAATGGAAAGCAGTCACTGCCGCCGCACTTTCAGCTTTGAGTCCTTCAAGTGCGTTCTCTACCCTGGGACTTAGAATAGAATCAAAAAACATCTCATATTGATTATACACTCTGCTTTATAGATAAATCTTTATTTTCAGAATCCTGGAGATCTCACAAAAACCATAGAAGATCAAAAAATAAAAGCAAAAAAGTTCCCTGTTCAACCATATATAATATTATTAGGCAGCCTACAGGACGTCAAGCAATTGTACTTAGTGATAGATGAAATTAGGTATACGTTTGTGTCTCCTTTAAAGGCTGTTGACACATTGTTTAAGGTTTACCATGTTTTTAATGCTAAATATCCGAAATCAAGCGACCATATATTATTAATAATACAGAGATGTATTTATGGTATCATAACTAGGTATGACAACGTCGTGCCTTACATTACCGATGTATTGTTATTGTAACAAATTGATTTTTAAGATGGATATTTAGTTTAAAAAAAAAAACAACAAAAAATTAAGTTTATAATTTTTACATAAAACTTGTCATTAATAGTCAAACATGCATTGCACCATTTGTGGTAAGGTTTTTGACACTTTTAACAAGTATACAATTCATTTGAAGCTTTTTCATAACATTACTGATTACTTCTCTTGTCCTATAATAAATTGTGATAGAGTATATCATAAGAAACATTCTCTTAAAAATCACCTAAAGTTGTGCCATAGTGAAAATATTTCTCTGAATAGTATTAGTGTAACAGAAGAACACATAGGCCAAGCAAACATAGATGATAATAGACAGCACCGTAATCAAAGCCGTGAAATTGATGATATAGAACTAGTTCGAAATTCTGAGACTCGTAGCAATACGTTTAAAGACATATTGAGAACATACATAGACTCATTTGTATCAAAGCTGTACGACACACTTAATATGTCAAGAGCACATACACAGGAAGTAATAATTGCTGCTAAGCAACTATTAACTGATGTTTTTTTAAAATTAAAGGAATTAAACATTGAGGGTCCTTTTGATAGTACTGTAACTGACGATGTGATGTCATGTTTTTCACATATAGATAGTGAATATAAAAGATTGAAGTATTTCAAGGATTGTAATAAATACGTGAAACCTACTTTAGCTTTCATTGGCTCTACGCAAGAAAAGTCTAAAAAAAACGTTGACACTGTGATGACATTAAAAGAAAATTTTGTCTGTATGATATCATTAAAACAAAATCTTAAGTTATTTTTAGAAATTCCTGAAGTTTATGATAAAATACGAGCTTATCAAATCAAACTTTTTGAAGAAAAAGATATTCTTAGAAACGTAGTGCAGGGTAAGCTTTGGCGACACAGACATACAAACAATAGCGATCCTTATATTCCTCTTGTTCTCTTCTTTGATGATTTGGAAACTGGAAATCCACTTGGAAGTCGGGCTGGATACAATAAAATTGGTGCAGTGTATGTATCTATAGCTTCCATCCCCCCGGAATACGCTAGTCGTCTAGAGAACGTGTTTTTAGCTATGTTGTTTTACAGCAACCATCGTACAAAATTTGGCAATGAAAGTGTCTTTGATTCACTAATTAAGGAATTAAACTATTTACATGATTACGGTGTTGACATTATATTAAATAGTCGTCAAATAAAAGTTAAATTTGCACTCTGTGTTATAGCCGGAGATAACTTAGGTCTTCACAGTATTTTAGGGTTCAACGAAAGCTTTTCGTCTACTAATTATTGTAGATTTTGCTATAGCACTAAACGAGAATGTCAATCTCAAATATTTTGCGATGAAAGTAGAAAGCGATCCAAGAATCAGTATGACGATGATGTTTTACAAAATTGCGGAATAAAAGAGACATGTGTTTGGAACAATATTTCCGGATTCCATGTATACGACAACGTATATTGTGACGTAATGCACGATTTGTGTGAAGGTGTCCTTCGATATGGTATGGCGCTCATAATAAACGACTTAATTAGATCCGAACATTTTACTTTGGAGCAGCTAAATGAAAGAATTAAGTATTTTGATTTCAAATCAAGTAATAGTCCACCACAGGTGAACAAAAATAAATTAGAGCAAGGTGTCTTAATCGTTTCTGCATCTGAAATGTTATGTCTCGTCAGGAATTTTCAGTTCCTAGTTGCAGATTTGGTGCCCTATGACGATAAAGTTTGGGATTATTATTTATGTTTGCTTGAATTGACCAATGTTCTTATGTCACAAGTTTATAGTGAAGAACTACTGGATTATTTAAAAATTCTAATATCTGAACACCACGAAAAGTATGTTACTTTGTATGGAGCTACGCTTAAACCTAAGCATCATTTTTTATTGCATTATCCAGACATTATTAAAGATATTGGTCCTTTAATATTACTAAGTGCTTTTAAATATGAGGCTAAGCATAGGGATTTAAAGCGTGTCTCCAATTCTATAAATACTCAAAGAAATTTGCCATTGTCTCTAGCAATTAAGTGCCAGCTAAAACGTTGTTATATGTACCTAAATAATAGAGGTCTACCTGATGTTATAGAACACGGTAAAATAAAAAACGAGCAAGTAATCCCCGAGACTGAAGGTGATGCTATTTTTTTAAACGTTAAATGGTATATAATTAATGGCATCAAATATTCAATTGACAATTGCCTTTTGTATGAATTCGAGGATTGTCATCCCCAATTTTGTCAAATTTCTCAAATATTACTCTCAAAGCATGACAATTCTAAGTTTTATTTTTATTGTTGTATGTTAAGGACAGTGGATTATTCTGAACATTTTAAATCATTCGTAGTTGCGAAGGAGGACATATTCAAACTTTTAAGTTTAGATGATTGTTTTAGTTTATTACCTAAAAGTATTAACACAATATCTGGTTGCAATTATATCTTTTGCACTGAGTAAATGTAACTAAGTATAAGCTTTCCATTTTTAGGATATCGCTTCTATTCATTTTCTTTTATTTTTTAACATGTTTTCTTTGATAATGTCTGCAAATTTTTATTGTGTGTGCTTACTTAAGTAAGGTTTTTTGACTGATCTGCACTTCGACACCACTTCACTGCGTTTCTACTCTGGGCCACACACATGACACTGCGCCACTCCGACAACTAAATACAGACTTGACTTTCAGATATTGATTGATTTGATTATTTGACTTGATTTTCGGAAATCGGACTTCATAAAAAGGACAGGGAAGATTAGTGACCTTTACTTTGACATCAAAACCCTTTGATGATCCCTAATACTTCGATGATGGATCTGGACCAGATAGAGAGGAGTCGATTGAGAAAGCGACGGTGTATGGTCGGAATTGTTGAGGGTATGGACAAGATTCATGTGGGGCAGGTGGAATTTAATAGTGAGTGCTGGGGATTGATGAAGCCCATCACCCGCCGTCAATTTTCACCACCTACCATCAAGTCCCACATTTCGTCGATCTCCACCATCGCTTCATTAAAACCCTCCATCCCCTCGTCAATCCTACTTTTCTCTCATCAATCGCCATTGACCATCATTCCACCTTCCCCCCATCAATCCCCTCCATGCCATCAATCTTCAACACCCAATCAACCCTTATCTCCTCCCGTTCATCGGTTGGTAAAAAAGATCCCAGTGGTTTCCCAAGAAAATCCTTATCTGAATAAATTCATGTTATGTCATGTCAATTGTTGTTGGAGTGGCTCAGTGTCGGAGTCAGATTAGAGTAGTCGGAGTAAAATGGTGTCGAAGTTACATAATATTGTCGAAGTAGAATGGTGTCTGAGCAATGTCAAAGTTTCATATTGTTACTGTACCTATTTGAGTTTGTCTAAAAGTCAATTTTTGTTTCGATTTTTATATCTCTGTGACAAATAAATAAAATTTTAATCAAGCTTGTTTTTATTTGTTTTTATGTCATATTTTGAGAGTCACTGAAGGTGTGGTTCTATTCGATATAGCTCATAATTTTGGGGTCCGCGTAGACCAGGCGAAGAATGCTCGAGCATTTTTCTATTGATAGTATTACTCTAGATAACATCATGGTAAAATTATCTACGATAAGACTCAATAGAAAAATGCTTAAGCATTCTTCGCCTGGCCTACGCTGACCCTTAAATTATGAGCTATATTGAATAGAACCACACCTTCATTAAAACTAAAATTTCTAGGAATAAAATTATAGAAGTTATTGAATTAAAATAAACTACATTGACTGAATTTCACACAGTCTCATTTAAAAAAAACAGTATCGTCTGGGTGAAACGACTAGACGTTTGTAGGAAACCTTTCGTGTTTAGAATCAAAACATTTGCGGCATTACTTTAATTTACTAATTCTTGTATCAAGACTTATGTGTTTAAATTCAAGATAATAGCATTATTGAATCACAGTTAATTTATTTGATACAATTTTCATTTTCTCTCTAATAGAAAAAACGGTTCTCTTCGCTGAAGATTACATATTTTCTAGTAAACACAGGGTTCTCTAAAACCTACACGTTATGATTTTACAAAAATATCGCCTTGTTTTAGACAAAAATAATGTTCATATAAATGAAAAGATGCTAATTTTAGAACATAGTACACATATTTAAATATAAAAAAATCATAATATAGAATTAAGAGAATCATTCTTTTGATTCGTCTGACACATTCTCTTGAATTAAAATTTCATTCTCTTAAAAAGACTGCATCTAATCTTGTGTCATATTATATGTTCTCTAGAATAAAAATTATCTAATTTATAATTGAATATCTGACAATTTAAATGAAATTGAAATTAATCAACAGAAATACAGCAATTTTACAGATGAAGTAAACGTTTACTAATACCAATAGTCTTTGACATTTTGGTCTATGCAATTACTAGTTTCTTGGAACAATCTTTCAAGTTTTTATTGCTTTAAAAGAATATTATTTACACGTAAGGTCATATTTTTAAGACAACTGAAATCTGGAGAGAAAACAACCATGATTTCGGATATATATGAATTAATATTTTTTTGATTTGATGGAGGTTATTTAGCACGAAGAAATTAGTTTTTACCGTGAGCGCTCTAAAATACTTTTGTCCCTGTTTCTCCTACGTATTAAAGAGTAAGATAACAAAGACGGGATATTAACAAACAAAATCTAACATGTAATACAATTCTTTTTGGTAGTGAGCTGTTATTTTATGGTACATTCTCCGCTCACTGTAGTCATTGTTTATAGCAAATAAGTTTGTGTTTAGTGTATCCGCTTGGAATTATTAGAGGAAAATGTAAGTATTGTTTATTATTCTTTCATTTTAAATAAATATTAGCATGTATTTAATTCATTTTTCTTGTTTTATCCGTCGTTGAATTGTGGACTCCACTGCTTGCCACTAGGGCAAGCTACGCCCGCGTTACGAGCACGCCACAGACAGAGCGTCACCGCAGCGCGGTGTCGCCACAGACCCAGGTCGAGTTTAAAATGGCCGCCGTCGTCGATGGTGGGATAATATAGATAAGACGTTTGCCTTGTAATCTTGCACCGATTATTTTCGAAAATTGCAGATTTCGTTAAATAAAATTAATTCTATTACAAATAAATGCATGGCTACTTGTGTACTGTTGGAAGCCGGATGTGGTAACTAATTTATTTTTATTAGGTACCTAATAATTAATTTCTGTAGCTGTTCCATTGTATACTGTAATATATTGGTTTTATACACTGAATATTGTGCATGTTTGTGCAAAATAAAATTAAGTTGTTTATATTTATTTATTGCTTTTTAGTGTGTGGTTTATTAGCGGTTATGGTGTATTGTTTTGAAATTGTACTTTTTCTAACAAATCTTTAGGTATATGCATGGCAATAAAAATCAATGTCAAAGTGGACGTCGACGTGGACGGGGACGTGGATCCAGAGGCAGTGTCCGCGCGAGTAACTCGAACTCAGACCCCGCATCCCCTGGCCCCTCGGTCCCAAACCCTCCCGGCCTCTCGGCACCCAGACGCAGGGCACGCACGCGCGGTGGCATACACCCCTTTCGACCGCACCTCATCAATTCGTACTAATGCTTTTTTTATTACTAACTTTTTCTTTCTACTTTCTAACATTTTTAGATAAAGATGAACTAATAACTAACTAAGTAATATACAAAATTATTTTTAGATTGAAAATATATGCCGCTGCCAGTGTCCACAGAGAAAACGAGGTGCTGGAGCAACCTCTATCCAAAATTAAGAAGAGAGTCATCCCAAAAAGTATAGACCCTAGTGTGGTGTCGTAAGTATTTTTAAACTTTTGTTTTTCTCCATGTGATGCGACATTTTTTGCCGAATCTTTTATAATTTTTGTGGTTTCACTTTTCACATATTATTTACTTCTGAAATCGGCGCAGTGGAAGCGTTTTGTTCCCAGATTATTAAAGATTATATAAATAATTAATACCACACTCATTTTTGAAACGCTATTTTATTTTTATCAATTATACACAGACCTAGAATGGATAGAGTTTTTTTTATCAAGGCTATGGAATCTTCACATTCAGGCTGAATTATTCAACCGAAGACTAATTATCTATTATCTTAACATTCAATGACCGACCAAACTAGTACGCTGTATAAATAGAGCCACCTTAATAGAAAATATTAACAAACAATTAAATATGATTAAAATATACCACAAAAGAAAAAAATACACAAAGAAATACAAGAGACATACAAACACTTATACAAAAATTATCATTGGCCATATGCTACTATCAATTCAAAAATTTATAAATTAAGGATGAACCAGCTAACTTGATGAAGTATGCTATTATAGTATACAATAACACAATTCACAAATCAACTGGATTCATACCATTCGAACTTCTTTACAGACAAAAAAGGTGCCTAATAAACAGATTTGGTTCAATTATTAAATCAATCACGGGAAACCTAGATCAAGGTGACGCAATAAGTTTCGAAAATGAGATCAATTCATTAAGATCAGTAGTTAACAATAATGCAATTGGCCAACAAGATACAATAGGAATAGTAAAGGATTTCATTCAAGAATAAGAAGCCAAATTGGGACAAATAAAAACAATCAATACCTATTACTCCTTTACTCCGTTATTAATTTCAATAATACAAACCTTATTCCACAAAATCCTTATCTTATCTTGGAAAAAGATGAGTTTGCATATCCCCACGAAGCATGTACGATCTGGAATGGCAGAAACTGAACAAAGCCAACGATTGCATCGCACAACTAATACAACACTAAGAACCGCATAACTGAACTTACGCAACAGCATATTTCAACAATAATCTTATACAAAAAATTCAAGACAATAGTTGGATAGTAATAATAAAACAAAAAGAAGTAGCTAAAACGACCTCGAGCACACGAAATACTTATTTCATCACCAATATCGATTAATCTAGACAATGTCGAGCTAGACTACCTGAAAATTTTGATACAGAAAAGCAAAGAAATAAAACATACCCAACCATTGGTATCACCGTCGCGTCGCCTAGTTGATTATCTGTAATATTATATATTATACTTACCGCAGCAGCAATCGCAACAATAGCGTACAGGTATTGGTGGTTGCGAAGACAAAAGACGACCTCAACCTTATCACTTGATGTCGCTGCAGCCATCGGTACGTCTTTTGCTTGGGGGGAGGAGGGGGGGAGGTATGAACACCTACAACGTCAACATCGATAACACAGCAGGAAACCAAGACAATTAATCCATTCATAAAGACAATCCTAACGTCTTCCGTTATTACCTTCCATACTCATATTAAACATTAATTAAATTATAATGATGTAATAGGATAAGCTGCTTGTAAGAAAGACATTTAATAAAGATCAGTCTTGTTCAGCTCTTAAAGCGTGTAACTTGTCAACAAAAGTAGTTACTTTTTAAAAACTTATTGCCCTCGCCCACCTCCTAAGGTCAGTAAAAATATTGTTAAGGCATATTCTCATACTTTTCAAGGTTATGGATGCCTTCCTTATGAAGCACACTTAAAAATTGATGAAAGCGTCACACCAAAAATATGTCCTTTGCATAGAATCCCTTACACTTTGCACGATAGATTAAAAGTAATAGAAAAAGTCACAAAACCTACTAAATGGGTAAATTTTACAGTATTCATTGAAAAATGTAGCTATTAAACGTCCCCATTATCCATATCCTACATTTGATGACTTGCGTTCAAAAGTAACAGGATATTTTCAAAATTAGATGCTAGTTCAGGCTATTGGACTATTCCTTTAAATACTATTAATAGTGACTTATGTGTTTTAATACCCCCTTTGGAAGATATAAATTTTTAAGATGGTTAAATTCAAGTGGTGAAATTTTTCATAGGACAATGCGTTATTTATTCGGAGACTAAAAAGGTGTTATTATTTTCATTGATTATATTTTAGTATTTGGGTTAGATTTAAATCAATATAACAAACGATTAGAAGCTGTCTTTAAGCATACAAGTGAAATAAATTTAAAATTTAATAAAGAAAAATGTAAATTTGATCTCACAGAAATATGTAATGTGGGTCATACCTTTATTTAAATGGTGTCTCTCCTATATATTGTTTCAAAAATATTGTTTAAATATATACATCTATACATATTACAGCATGTATTTCCAGAACTCAATTTCCAACTGTAAACATTGTAAATTAATTAAAAAGGGGCATGTAGTATTATATATTGAATGAATATGAATTCCTTTGCGTCATAGCTATAAAATGAATATAATAATAATAATAATTCCATTTATTACAAGCATTAACACTCATATACACAAATCAAAATTTAGTTTATACAAATAAATAAAATTGAAAATTAAAACATGCAATAAATTTTAAAATCAAAAATATAAACAAATAATAATAATAATAATAATAAGTAAATTCATTACAATTATCTAAAATACATTAAATCATCGTCATATCTAAATGCCGCGAAGATTAATTAAAGATCATATTAAAAAATTAAAAATCAAATTAAAACAACATAAATAAAACATTAAATTAATACATTCTATAGAATCGCTCATAAATCACATATAATCATTTTACATGAGTCATAGATTGATAGTAAGATTTTATTATTGGTATTTCTGATTCTGTCTTTGAAAGCAGCAGCCCTTTTTCTCATAATTGCAAAAAAATCATCAACCCTATTGTCGAAGAACATGCCGGACGCGCTACACCGCCATGGCAGGTTCATCATTGCTCTGAAAGCGTTATTATATGCACACGCAACGCATGAGAGCGCGTTGCGTGAAATTGGTCCACAGCTGGCTGGTGTAAAACGCCTGACAGTAGGCACTAAAAAGAGTGACTTTCACGGCTTTACTGCATTTAGAAAATCTACGAGCCAGCATGTTACTTTTAACAGCAATACTTCTTTTCTGACGTTCCATATCATCATCATCACTTAAATCATCTCTTATTATGTGACCTAAATATTTGAACTTGCTGACCTGTTTTATGACAGAACCGTTAAGACAAATTTTTGGGCTAAAGTTATTTATCCTGTTTTGTCCAAATATCATAAGCTCAGTCTTGTTCACATTATATGTCAATTCGTGTACATTAGCATATTTTACACAAATATTAAGTAATTTTTTCAATCCATTGATGGAGGGACTCAGGAGAACCATGTCGTCCGCATAACTCAAATTATTTACAGGCTGATTGCTCATATGGCAGCCGACACCGGATCTCCCAAGTTCCACCAACAAGCCATCAATATACAAATTAAAAAAAAATTAAAAAGTAACGGGGACGAAAGCCCACCCTGGCGAACGCCACAACCGAGCACATATTCCACAGAAAAACAGTTTCTCCACTTTACTGTATTAGTTTGGTTTAGGTACCAGTACTTAAAGAGTCCACTATATCCCATGGCACACCCGCCCCCTCCAGCTTGGACCAAAGTATATTGTAATTAATTGTATCAAAAGCCCGGCTGAGATCAAGAAACAGGCATATATGTTGGTATTTCTGGAAAGATAATATTTAACAGTGTTTTTTAAAGCAAAAAACGGCCGCGTCCGTAGATAAGCCGGTACGAAAACCAAACTGAGGCATCGTTGAGTTTGATATGCTTTATTAACTCAGGTTGCAGGAGTGCCTCAAAAATCCTGGACAAACTAGTGGCCAATGAGATAGGCCTATAGTTTTTCAAGTTAGTCGAATCGCTCGAACCGTGTTTAAGAATAGGTACAACTATTGTCCTCATAAAATCCTTAGGCAAATAACAATGTGACAAACATAAATTATAAAATTTAGTAAGCATAGTATGTAACAATTGACCTCCATAGTATACATGCTCCACGCTAAGACCATCATGGCCAGGAGACTTACCTTTTTTCATATTTTTTAAACACTGAATTAGACAGTCTGTCGTTATATTGAAGTTTGCGCTCGGTAGGTATTCACCGACACAGTGCTCCGAGCGCGGGAGTCATGCACAGGGCCGCCGCTTACACAGTTACCTGCTTGGAAATGCGACGCGAAACATATCAGCTATTTTACCCGTGTCCTGACAATTATTAACAGTGACAGGCAGGGAGGGCCTAAAAGATAATTTATTAGTTGATTTCCAAAAACTGTGAAAATCGCCACTAGCTCTTTGTTCGGCAATAATATCCATTTTTAGTTGCGTTTGATTATTTTGACACCATTTGAGCTTGTTTTTAAATGTCTTTTTTGTTTCTTTCATATTGTCATACAAGGTGCCATGCGTCGGCCCACCGTGCCATAACCACAACTGATAGTGATACTTGGCTTCAGCATGTAAATGTTTCACATGGTGATTCCAACCTACGACATGTTTCTTTCTATGTTGTTTATTATTACTAGCACAGCTAGTTTCTATAGCTGCATTACTTAAACAATTTACCAACAAACCGTACATTTCATTTATTATACAGAAATGATCTAAATTACTACACGGTTTATCACAGCACAACAAGGTATATTTATCTAAATTGCATTTTTCTAAAAAATTGTTACATAATCTGGTGTAATTACTAAACATATCTAGATTTCTATTTTTC